GGTGTTTATATATAAATATTACTTACACATTTTCAACTGAAGAGGGGAAGGAACTGCTTTCAAAGTAGGCATGCACAAAAATGATGCTATTTAAATTTATTTGAAGGTAATAAGTAAAGGAATTAAGAAAAATCTTTTATAGCATGTAGAACGGTTATAATGTAAAGGATCTGAATTTGACTTGAAGAATAATGCATCACAAATAACAATCTAAATAACATATTACAAAGTATGGGAGTATCTGTACCTGTTCTACAAATCTGTGAACCTCCTTGGAAGTATAAAGAAATTTAAAATCTAGTTCTCTTAAATATATTACGAAATTTGAACCAACTGGTTCTCATTAAATTAGTATTTAGTAGCCTCAATTGTGAATATTAATAACATTGTATTAATCCTCTATTGTGAATAAAAGATTAGTCTTTTCATTTTAAAGTTACATTTAATACATCAAATATCTAAAAAAATCACAAGGCAGCTAAAATATTAAATAATGTATCTTAAAAGCACTTAAGTTTCAGTTTTATATATGTTATACAACAATAATTTCTGTAAAAATGAAGAATATTATTATGCAAATTCACATGCAACTGGCAATGAACAGAAATATTGATTCAGAGATATCCAAACAGTGCAGCAAAATGCTAAATGTCAAGACAAGATAATACCAGGTGCCCCAAGATGAACCAAACACAAAGCAAGTAAAGTCTAATATGTCTGGTTTAGTTTGCCTCAAGCACTGATGATGTACAGCATAAATAATTAAATTTATGATCTGACACAATAAGAGTTAGATTCATATTCTGCTAATGGCATGATGACTTGTAATGATTTTTTAATTTAAATTAAGGCACAACATTCAATCATGCAGTTAAAAATATCTATATTCTACTAAATACTGAAAAAAACATATGATAAAGTGGCGAAAGCTTTTCTTAAAAGGAGTTACCAAATTAAATACCATAATATGTTATTTAACATTTCAATTATATTTTTTAAGAAAAAGTCTCTCAGACTAAAAATCTATATCAGTTTTCAACTACTTTATACATAGCTTATTTCTATGTTGGCATATTCAACAGATGGGTAACTTAAAGCAACAAGCTACATACAGCATCATACATTTTTTACAGTCTTCCACTTTTAATTTACTTCAGAAATGAAAATTACAGCATATACTTAATTAAAATATTTTTAGAACTATAGAATCTATGGAGATATTACTTTCTATTGACTAAGAACTCTTGGAAAACTTTTTCACTTCTAAAACATAATCAGCCATTTTTGATTGCCTAGGAAAATCTATTCAGCTTTCATAAAACTCATTTTGTAAAGTGCAGTTTGATAATTGAAGCATTACTTATATTCACAAATGATTCATTGTTCCAACAATTCTTATTCTGTCAGATTTTACAAGGGTTAGACAAAAATATGGAAACACCTCATAAAATGCATGTTTGAACTGAAATGTTTATTCTTGGAAAAGCTGTTGGTTGCACTGACATGTGTGCACAACATCCTCAATACAGTGCAAGTGCCATTCGTTATTCAGACAGTGTTCTGTGCAGTTGTGAGTGGTTCACGTCAGAGTTATATTAATTTAAATGTGTTCAAAATTGTATGGTGGGTGGTTCCGTAACCAAGGTAGACGTTAAGATGCACACCAGTATCTAAAATTTTTAACTCATACAGGAAAAGCAGAAAACAGCATCCGTTAAGCCACAGCGGACACTCAACACACAAAAGTGTGTGTTGAGTGATCATGATAGATGATCATTGAAGAGAACTGTGATGGAAAATAAGAGGACCACAGCCACAAAAATGACTGTTAAACCGAATGTCACACTCACAAACCTTGTCAGCACTAAAACAATATGAAAGGAGCTCCACAAACAGGGTATTTTTGAGTGACCTGCAATACAAAAGCCACTGAGTGATTAAAAAATGCTTGTAAGAGGAGAAAGTAGAGCCAAAGTCATAAAACCTGGACTACAGAGCAATGGAAGATTGTCATTTGGTCAGATGAGCTTTGCTTCATGCTGTTTCCAACTTCTGGCCGACGAATGCCGTTCCAAGCATATGATAGAGAGCGTTTGTTTGCCAAGAGTGAAACATGGCAGAGGTTTGGTCATGGTTTGGGCAGCCATGTTGTGGTATTCCAGGGGACCTAAAAGCCACATTACTGCCAAGGATTATGTGACCATTTTGGCTGATCACATCCATCCCATGATACAAATTTTGCTCCTCAATGGTGATGTCATATTCCAAAATGACAGAGCTCCTGTTCACTCATCTTGCATCATCCAGGACTGGTTTTCAGAGCATTAGGGTGAATTCTGATATCTACGTGGCCACCACAGTTACCAGATATCAACATTATAGAGCCTCTGTGGGTTATTCTGGAGAGAAATCTGCATACACACTATCAACCGCCATCATGTTAACTTAATTTGCCAATGTTTTACAGGAACATTGGTATAAAATTTTCTTGCAAAGCATACAAGACCTCTATTTATACATTCCAAGAAGACTGCAAGCTGTTTTGAATGCCAATGGTTTTCCTACACTGTTTTAGTCACAGCAGAATATTTATTTTAGTGTTTCCATATTTTTGTCCAATCCCTGTAATTTCCCTGCAAACAAAGGAATTACTTACGGTAGTATTTTTCCCTACAGTGAACATGTTTTACAATGTTCATGATATTCTCTGAAAGTTTCTCATCATTTGAATAAGTCCTTTAAGATACTATATATGAAAAGTTATTCTGCTTGTATTTTTCCTTTAATTCATTGATATTACATATATCTCTTTCAAGAAGTTTATGACACAGCATTTTAACCACATTAAATCTTTAATAAAGAAAGAATATTTTTCAAGCTAGTCACTCTTATTGGAAAATATGCTTTAAATTCTTAGCTATTTCAGTTACATATGTCTGTAAATTTGCTCTTACATCAAGTTTCCTTTTCAAAATTAGAATGCTTTGTAAGAAACAAAAATACAAAGTTTATCAGCATGTAAACTGAATGCCGTGAAACCTTTAAAATATGATAATAAACAATATATATGTTTCAACATGAAAGAAAAATAGTAAAAATTTAAATTCAACATTTATAAAAGTTAAAAGACATGATTTTCAGATATAATTTTTCAATGAAATGACAAATCCAAAGTGCAAAATTTGGAAAATATATCTAAAATCCAATTTATTTAGGAGAGGGGAAGGACTGTAAGTTATAAATGTGATACAGGCAAGTCAATGGCTAAATCAGCTTACATGAATAGTTTTACAATGAAATTAAAAATCACAATGAGGAGATAATAAATCACAATGTATAAATGAATACAAGTAACAATTTTAAATAAAAGCTCACATTTAATGAGATTATGAATGTGATACAGAATATCTGTAACATGTCAAGTGAATTCACATTTCAAAGCAAGCACTCCTGGGATCTAAACAAGCCGAAACTTGCATGGGGTTTATTTTATGTTAACTTAAAAGTAAATGTACTTGGCTATGGTGTAGACATGGAATATGCATGTCTAATATGACTCTAAACAAATTACAATAAAACATAAATTATGTGTCACAAGTAACTTAAATATCAATGTTATAAATGAGGTGAAGTCTCTCTAAAAAGTGACCACCCATTGATGGATTTGCTTATTCTTGTTGCAAAATATGAGGAAATCATCTAATATTACAAAATACAAACATCTAATATTACAATACAGTAAAGGATACAGGATTAATTAGAATACGCAAACAAGGGCTATCTACTTAAAAGAAAGAATGCCTTCATAGAGGAGATTTCAAAGGGAACTAGTTTTATATTTTTGTTAAAATTCAGAAAATAAAATAATAAAAAAAATTGCTATGCAGCCAATCTGATCACCAGGATTTGAGCTTGGGTTGAACAAGTTCAGCGGTTTAACACTTAGCTGCTCGTGGACCATAAAGGGTATAGAACAAAAAAAAGAACATGGATGCAATACAAAACAGAAATTGAAAGTCTGAAAACAGTATAATTATGTTATTAAAGTCATGCCATTCCAATAAAACTTGCAACCATTACTTTGCTGCTGACAGTCTGCATCTAGATCACATTTCATCACACCAGGACAACAATTATTGGAGGCATTTTTCATCCAACTTTGGCATTCAGTCAGAAAATCACAGCTGATTTTTAATCTAAAATTTATCACAGCCATCTTATATAATTTATTGCAGAATATTTTTTAGTGCTTTTGAATGTTATACCTTATTTAACCTTATGATATATATATATTTTAGTTCTGTTAGAAAATTTTCCAAATTCTTTCTGTAAATGTAATTTTAAAGTATTTGTGGATCAACATTTTTTTAGCCAAGATATGTTTTAGTTCTTTTTCCAGGTCTGGCCTTCCAAAGAGAGTATCATCTCACAGAACTTGATAACTGGTGAAGTTCAACATTACTTAATTATATTCTCAAAAATATTAGTCCCTAACAATTCCTGTGGAGAGGTTTTACTGTATTCATTTAAATATAATATAAATAATAATGCTGTACATTTTTGCCAAAAATATTGTTAAGATCTTAATGAATATCAGTAAATATTAGTAATGAGATACTAGAACAAAATGCAAGTAGGAGAATATTTCTTTTGCATGAGAACATATATTGCAATTTTCAGTTTAATTTCATATATGGTTGCCCAAACTGATGCCTGCTGTTTAATCTCTACCAGTTAACATAGTTAATATCTGGACTTATGGTTATGTCTATAAATTTATATTTTTAGTACATTATAATAGTCTACTGTGCAAGCATTAAAAATATAAAGCTATACATTAATCATTAAAAATGTATTGTCAGCATTAAAAACAAGCATTATAATAGCTATATAAGCATATATACATGTGTCGGCATTATAATATGCTATATAAGCACATATAACACATTATAATGTTCAACTATTTAAAGACTGCGATTTTTTTTAAAATAGAAAATTAAAAAATAGAAAATTGAATTTTATGAGTGAATCACAAGCCAATGTTCTAAAAATTTTTTTTTTCTTAGAAAGATATTTTAACAACTGCTTATTTTTCTGTTTGGGATGAGGTAATGGCAACCCACATAGATAATCTTAATTGTATGCATCACAAAAAAGAAATTTCAAGCACAGGAATGTAAATTAAAATGTTCAATACTCTATAGATTTATAATCCACAAATCAGTTGTAATTATTAGATCATTTTATTCATTTAGTTGCAAATACTAGATTAATGTTATTCAAAACTGTAATAATTAAAAACCTTGATTATCATTTACTCACAACTGAACTGTTTACCATTGCTGTATGCTAAAGGGCTGAATTACTAAAGAAAACAAGACAAATATCTAAATTTTCTGAAGAAAATTATTCATTGCACTTATAAAATAATTTTGAATTGTTTTATGAATTAACCTGAAAATTTTAATGAATGCCATGTATAAAACAAAGTGTAAATTATTATTTCAAGATAATGATAATAATTTCAAAACTTTAGCAGACCATTTTAAAAAACTGCTAATACACTACTCATAAATTTCGTGTTTAAAAATTCTCTAATGATCCTAAATCATTTTAAATCTACATCATTAGCACTAAGATAACTTCATTACAGTATGAAAAATTCTTTAAATTTACCCCGATTCTTAATATAAAAAGTTTTATGATTTAAAAGAATACAAATATTTTTATAAATCAGATATTAGGATCTTGAGTCACCACTAGCAAAATCACGGAATCCTGAATCCTTCATTGTATTGTAACAATTCAGACTAAAGACCTTTTAAATAATATTAATAATAAAACATATTTTGTAATATAATGCAAATAATACTTTTTCATATGAAGCAATTTCATTACAACTTGCTTTTTCTTATAATTCATTCATTCATTCATATGTACAATAATGACAAAAAATTTTGGTTTACACGATTATTTATAAAAATATTCAATATTTATACAGATCAAACAAGAAAATCCATTTTCCAGAAAGAAATGACAAACCCATCTACAATGCACAGAAAATTCATTCAATTTCTGTTACTCAATATTGTCAGAGTACAAACATGCACTATTTCTCATGCATTAATATAATTTAACAAGATTATTGCAATGCATTTTTTTTTGTTTAATAAGAATCTTAGCCAATTTCACAATAAATAAAAGACAGGTTCTGAAATTTCCATATAAATGCACACAATTATTCTATTAAAAAAGTTAGGTTAAAAAAAGACTACTGGTTAAATTTTTTAAATTAAACCTAAGTTATTACTACTGTTAGCAGTACTACTGCCTTATCTATAACTTAACATGAATTCTAAATTTAGCCGACCATTAAAAAAAGGATTATTATGATAAATACTACACAAACTTAATTCAATCTTTTATGCAGTTTGTGGAAAAAATGGAGGGGGGGGGAGAAGGAAATCCAATTTTTTCAAAAGATGTAGTTGGAACATATTCAAATTTGTTAAGCTATGTAAAATTATCTTATAACAGAAAATTATTTTACCTTATGTTTTAAAATAAACTCTACATATATCATTTCTGATTTAAAAATAAGTCACACTCCATCAAAAAACTACTATTCGCACTTCAAAACCTGCTTTAAGTTCTTGAGAGAGTTAAAATTCTTTGTACAGAGATCCCACGATTAGAAATATGTTCCCCTTGTGCAATAGGAAGAGGAGGGAAGGAGGATCAATGTCTAAGCAATGCTGAAAAAATTATAGAATTATAGAAAATTATAGAAATTATAGAAAATTATAGAAAATAGAAAATTCCTGATATCAAAGATATAAGTTTACAAAAGTTTTTTTAAATGAATTAGAAAAACTGAATGAAATTACAAGAACATATGAACATTAATAATGTACAAGTATAAAACACAAAGCTCAGAATATTGAATTATAAAATAGCAAAATTAAAAGGAATGATTTTTTGCAGCTCTGTCAAATAATATGAAAGTTTAGAAAAACGTGAATATAAAGAAGAATGCTAACAAAATGTCATGGAGAAGATTACATTTTTGTTGCACTAAACTTGTTTCAGACTATAGTTATAAATATTCTCCATATAAAACACAGTAAATAGCTTAAAATAACATATAAATTTTCTTCTTTATCAAGTAATTAAAAAATTTACTTTACAATACACTAAATTCATAAAAAATCAAAAAAACATTTTAGGTCATGAGCGGAAAAGATTTTTGAGCAAAAAATTGAGTCTCAACTTTTCTTCAATCCTCTCAACTTTCCTTCAATTTTTTCACCTAGAAATAATAAAATAAATGAATGACAGTACTTTTAATCACTAACTTATTTGAATTATGTTACTTTGATGCTAATAACGTAAAAATAATTTACCAAAGAACAAACAAAAGTAATAGACATTATGCAGATACAAAATGGCCCCAAAATATTTTTTTGACAAGAAATCATTTAGTGGCCATAGTTTTATTTTAGCAGGTTGCATAATTTCTTGGGAATAGCACAATAAAAGAATGGTAACATAATTAAGAACGGAGAGAGGAAACACAGAGGTAATACACATGCATTCATTAGGAGAATTTAAATTTTTTCAAAAAAGGTAACAAAATCTATTGTTGAACAGTAATCAGAGAGCACCATTAAGTACGAAGTTTAATATTTCAGAAGCATGCAGAATCCATTTCACCATTCCAAATCTACATATACTGATACTTGTTTTTTTATTCTATTAGAGAGTTATTTGATAAAGGGCTCTATTCATGATATTTTTAATGCTAGCTTTAAGTGAGATTGAATGAGTCCCATCGGGTTCTGATGTCACGAATCATTAAATCTGCTATTTCGTAATTAGCTATTAAATTTAAGGATAGATTTTGAAGGTAGTTTTAAGTAAAATAGCGGCTCTTTACAAATAAAATGGTCGACGTGTTCCTATTCAAGCTGTGGGTAAATAATATTTCATAAAATTTTCATGGATAGCACAGGCAAGTGCTTAAAACTTCAGAAATGTTCTTGACTTATCAGAATATACTTTTCATAATTATAAACTTTGCTTTTCAAGAATGTCTAAAAATGATATCATATTTAAGCAACTGCTTACTTCTGATGAAAAAAGCCTAACTAGTAACCATCTGAATATATATCTTTTACAGTTCAACTTTCTGAAATTTATCTGAAAGAATTAATTTTTTTAAAACTTTCTTTACATTTGTATACATATTCTGTTGAGAAGATGCAGTTTGTTGCTTTGAGTAATAGTTCACGTGAATATTTGATGTGAAAGTTAAAATTCTAAGTGTTAAATAAATTTTCATATCTGTTCATTAAAATGTAAAACATATTTCAAGATTTATACTTCACACTTTATATACACCCTGAATGCTTCACACTTTAAAATGCGCATGCTGATCTTAATATCGGATAGCCGTTTACATGTTAGACAACTGTATCTGACATTAAATTCAATTTCACAAATTTGAGGTATCAAGCCTTTTTTTTATTCCCTTTTAATGTTACACTTATATTTCATGAAATTCTGAATTATACTGGGTTTCAGTTTTTCATAAGAAACTTTTCCCCATGCATATTAAGTCATTACTTCTTTTTGTGGGCAGTTTCTCACAGGCTTAATGGCTCAACGATGCTGGCTAGAGGTCTGCAAAGCACAGGGTTGTGAGATCGAAATCAGTAAAAAAAAAAAGTTTTTTCCTGCTATATTTAAATTTCCAATTCTTGCACAATTAGTTCAATCAAAATGTATTTTATTCATGTTAGACTGCCTCTACTTTTTTATTAAATCATATTTATCTTTTAATTGAAATATTTTTCTCTTACAAGTTTATCATTTATTTTCCAGGTTCCGATATTTTGCACACATTTATTACTGCCTTTTATTCAAATCAGTCAAATTTTGCACATTAATTATACTCAACGCTTAACTGATCCATATACTACACATTCAATTACTTTTCATTAAGTTCTATTTATATTTTAATTGTAATATATTCATGCTTTTATCATTATGGCTTCTTTCCTTCTCTGATCTTTTTTAATTACAGTAAAAACAGGCTTCAAATATAGTTGTTGTTTTATCTGATATTTTGTTTATACTAACTTTTTTATCACCAGTGATTAGAATTTGTTTTGTTTATAAAGAAATTTGAATAATTTCCACTCATAACTATTTACTTATACTCATTTCCACTCATAACTAATTTACTTATACAATTTAAGCTAGGAAATAAATTCCATTTATTTTAAACTCTGAATTAAACGTTTTTTAAACTAGAATTTATGCATTAAATGTGGTGCATAGACTAATAATTATATACACATGGTATGGAAACAACAATCAAATATCTCAATACCCTTGATCTGAAATACCCGTCAGGGTTCCACAAAATAAGTTTTTAACCTCTAATTACTTTGTTTCATACCTTTAAACAGTATTGACTGACTCGCCAATTTTAACAAAATTCCGGAAGTTTTGAACAAAGAGGATCGCACATCGTAAGGATCACTTTGATGGACCGTTAAGATCAGCTTAGTTAGGAAATCAGTTTAAATAAGTGCAAGTACAAGATGATGCACAGCCAGCACCTATGCATCCAAGTAGGCATATCAGGTATTGCCCAGCTTTGCTAACTGCTCAACTTCCTCTCCGGATGGAATTCTAAGACAGGACACCTGGGGTGTGGTTTAAGGGTTTCCCATCTCTCTTCCCCTATAAGTAACCTCTTGAGAGGATTTTGGTTCACCACATACTTGAGGATTTTGGCTTGCTCCTTCCTGCACAGGCATTATACACTTTGAAACATCTATGCTTTTCCACGGCTTCAAAACCAGCCTTTTATTACAGCAGTTGGACTCTCTAACTACTATTCTGCAGGGCAGCTACCAATTTAAGCATGAGTCATTTATGGTTACTGGACTTGTTAAATTTAGTGACTGCTCTCAAGTAAGGATCACTACTTATGTGCATGTCATGAACAGGGCCAAAAGAAGAAATCAGTATTGAATATGTGCCTAAAGTAGAAATACCCACTGACATTTAAATAAAGAATCCTGGTATACATAATGGAAATTTGCATTTCCTTTTAGTTGTAGAGCTGATGATGAAGTCATGAAGCTTTATAATTTTAAAAGAGCTGACACAAGCAAAGTACTTCTCACATCTTCAACAATGTGATGCCAGTGCCTTCATCTACATATGCTTATTCAATGCCCTTGATTCCTGAGCTACATGTAATTCCTGTAGTTGCCTAACCAATGCTGAGTAATCATTATGGTATTGAAGAATTGGAGCATTTGGCAATATGCAATGGAGGTGACAATGCTACGATTTCCTAAGTGGAAAAACAAGTGTTCCTGATAGAGTTCAAGAATTGATAGCTGTCCAAATGAGAGAAACTAGGAAGAATCATCATCTTATTATCACTGTGTTAAGATGCTATGGACTGTTTTTGTTATGCTACTGACAGTCTAAATTAAGATAACCGCTTTTTAGTTTTCACTTATGCTACGGTGTGAACTATGGCTCTGCTACACTATGGACTAATTTCAGGAATTAATAGTTTTCGTAAATCTTCTTTCAATTATGTAATGACTTATTAATTAAATTAAGTAATTCAATTTTGGGATAAAATATGCTAATTTTTTTCAGTGAAAACAATCTTTTTACACAATCTTAAGTATACATTATTAAGTCATCCTGCTTCAAACAACATGCAGCTGGGGGAGGGGAGGGGCTAAAGTTGTTAAAAAGTAAATTCTTTTCTGTACAATTAAAACTTTACTTACCTAAATTTCGCATTGTTTTACCAATGAGATGAGATAGTTTTTCATCTTGAGAGAGCTCCCATTTGTAATCATCAACGCGTTTTTCAAAACATGCTGAAAGTTAATCTTCTTTTTAAATCTATGCATATATTACATTTAAAATATAATGAAATAATATCACAAATCATAAAAATTGGACTGCATATTAAAAAAAATTATTAATGATTAATATAATTTCTAATTTAACATGAAACAAACATTTACTTCTTGTATTTGTCTGACAAAGTTTTCTGAATTTCATTCTCCATTTACTCTCTTCAATAAACGTATCAAACATTTGGGTTTCAGAAAACCACTGTAGAAAAGAGCGTATGCTATGAGAAAAAGCATTTTTGAGAAATCCATCTTTCTGCAAAGGAAATAAAATAAACATAAGACTTAGTAGACTCAGTTTTAAGTAAACTTTAAAGATTGCACTCTTGATTTTTTTTTTTCTTTCTTTCTTTTTTTCCTAGGCAGAATTTTTACAGTTACATGCAAAAATGATTATTAAGTAATGATGCATTAAGTTTAGAAGAAGAAATCTACTTTTCATCTCTTTCTGCTTTTAACACATGCCACTCACTTTAGCATTTTACCATTTATTTTTCACCACTGCACTAATGAACATAAAATGGTAGCTTCTGTTGACTGTCTGAAGAACTTTGCCACTTTTATTTTGATTCGGAACAAGTTCATCTGTGCACAGTCTTGACTTCTAAGAAGTCCAATGTCATTTAACTCCTTAAACTAATTTAACGAAATATACAAGGACAATCTGCCTAATTAGAGATATGGCTTTGCAAGGAAGTGTTCTGAAGGAAACTGGCTTGTGTTTATGTCATACATGAGGAAAATCATGTGTCATGTAGTGAAATTAATTTAAGTTATTAAAATCTTATTTCAAATTCAGCTATATACTTTAATTTACTAAGTTACCTTTTAATTAGGGGTATTAATAATTAATTTATTAAAGTTAGTTTATTTTGAAAAGTCACTTATTTGGCTTTTTTAGTTTAGTTTATTTTTAAATTTTGGTTAAGTTATTACTTAAGAGTTACTTATTAGTTGTTACTTAAGAGACATGTCTTGTAAGTAATTTTTTAGTATTATTGCAATTTAAAAATACAAATTATAGATTTACCTATCTAAAATTTATAAACAGTATACAGTAAAAATTTGCCTTTCTTGCAAACCTACTTTGCATTCATCAGTTCCCAGGCCATTATAACATTTACTCATCTACATGTCTATTACAGCAGATGACCTTTTCACTGACTCCTGTGCCATGATCAAGGTATTTCCCTTCTGTTGGCAATTTCACTTTGACAAATGTACCATCTATAGAGATGAATTCTTCAGTTAGACAAGTAGTATCTTCTTTTATTAATGTGACACCCCACTTGTGGAAAGAATTTTCTTTTATTATTGTTTTACACACCCACTGTGTCTGATAAAAATTTTTTTTAACTATATTGTAGTAGTAAATTCTTTAAGAACTGCTAAATGTTATATCTCTCGGGAGATATAACATTTAGCAGTTCCTGAAGAATTTGACTATCTCCCAGGAGTAACCATGTTTGAGGTATTTTAACTTTAACTGAAAAGCTAAAAAAAACAAATATTAAGTAAATTAGTTGGCATTTTTTTCTGCCACCTACACTCTTACAAACCTGGGTTGTTGCCCTCAGGTTAACTGGTTTTAAATTTCTAGAATAAAATACAATATTATATTTGGTATATTTTTGTTAAGTGTTTTGGAAGGATTCCAAGAATCATTACACAACAAGTGGTACTCTTATGACAAGACAATGAAAACACACACACACACACATATATATATATTTTCCAGGTCACTAGTGGGTATTCTACCCAATAAGGAGCAAAGATACTGAAGCCCAATAATTATTGTCAACCTTGAAATTATAAAAATTGGAATTTTCTGGGAGGTTTATTCATGCTGCCCAATGGTATCATTTCAAAAGAATTCACACTGACTTAAATTCACTTTATAATGTATGATTCAGGTTATTCAACTATTTATAACATGATTCCAATGTAAAATATATTATTTAATTAGATATTCTAAATTTTATGCTCTTTGAACAAAATCATTTTGTAATTTTCTTGCACTTCTATATTGAGAAAATCCTGTGCAAGAATTTAGTAATGTAGCATTTATTGATATAAAACACAATAAATACAAATATAGAAATCCTGAGCAGCAAAGGAAAGCTTTAATTTATCTAAGTACTTTTAAACAGGAAGAAAATAAAATTAGTAATTAATGTACACATATGGATAAATTTAGTAATGTGCCATGTAAAAAAATACAAATATTAAACAATTAAACATTGTCTGAATCTTTGTACAAAGTTCTACAAACGCCAACATTAAAAATTAATAAAATTTAATAAGAAAAAATATTTTGAAAATCCTCAGGGGTAGAGGAATGAATTTTGCACAATTTAAGTTTCATTCATTCAATACATTTCATTTACTGGTTTCTACCGTTTTTCTTATGTGCTACGAGTATTGCTTTAAGCAATAGGAGTTATTCGATGCTATTTTCTCATCATCTCGCAATTTTTCGAGTGTGGATTACTTCGAAATCATGTGATCATTTTTGTGCGCTGTGAATAGCGAATTCTCCCCCCCCCAAGATTAGCAACAACATGCAATGGTGGGGAACAAATTCTCTCCACCTGCTAAAATAGATACATCTACGGTTCGGAATCACGTGCTAGAGCTGACGGACGAAATGCATCATTTTGCGGATAAATATTTAGGAGGAAGTTGGAGTGCTTTAATAAATGTGGAATCACTTATGTTAGAGGACTACCTGTGTATATTACAAAGTATTGAAAAGCTAAAATCTAGGATTACATTGATCGACATGGATTTGGAAAAGTTGACTGCCAATGCTAAATCGGATCACGAACTGCGATTAGTTTGGACTGTGTTTGCCAGGGAGCACGGTTTTGCCGAAGAATTATTACAGATATATAAAGGTAAGTGGTAGTTTTTTGGTGCACACAATCCTTATTCTATTAAATTAAGTGTTACTGATATTGCCAAAAAAGTAATGGCTAGCAAACTGAAAATTGTTAAATAATGCTTGTAAAAATGTTGATGTTTATGTTGAAAATGGATCTGATGTAAATGTTATTAATCCTGTTTCAAATGTTAATGATGATTCTGGTAATATTAATGCTAAGCCCAAGCGGCCATCAAAAAAGAATAAGAGGTCAGCTACCAAAATCACTGATACTGATGGCTTTACTCAGCCGAAAAACAAGGCCAGGCTTTCTAAGTTAATTAAGTGTAATGTAGATATTCCCGTAATCAATACATTTAATGGATTAAATGCAAATGGCAATGGAAATAATAATATGGACCAGGGTGAGCCTAAAATTATTGAAACTGAGCCCTCAATAATTAAACCTATTATGGTAAAACCTGCTGAAAAATTTTCTGATTTTGTTAAAACACTGAAGAGTGATACTAAGCTTGAAGTTGCAGTTAAGACAAATGGCAAGTTTCTGAAAGTGTTCCCAAAGATAGAGAGTGATCATAAGTTAATTACTACTTACTTAGATGATAAAGAGATAGGTCATTATTTAATAATAAGCAAGGTAGAAAAACCTATTAAAGTTGTCTTTAGAGTTTTTTTTTTTTTTTTTTTTTTTTGTTTTTTTTTTTTTTTTTTTTTTTTTTTTTTTTTTTTTTTTTTTTTTTTTTTTTTTTTTTTTTTTTTTTCTTTTTTTTTTTTTTCTTTTTTTTTTTTTTTGTTTTTTTTTTTTTTTCTTTTTTTTTTTTTCTTTTTTTTTTTTTTTTTTTTTTTTTTTTTTTTTTTGTTTTTTTTTTTTTTTTTTTTTTTTTTTTTTTTTTTGTTGTTGTCTGCGTGTTCTAAAAATGCTCGATTTCAAAAATAAGACACTATGCTCTTTTTCAATCCAGTTGGAGATGTACCAGGGGTAGAAGATATCATAACTTACTTACTCATTGTTTTTTATGTTACTGTTACCCCATATATTACTATCGAGGTTCTGCAGTGTCCACAACTGCCAACATTTCCACCACTCGTCAAAAATTGCAACTAAAGCCCCACTGCTCAAGTGCGCAGGGGCACATATACTGGAAAACTGTAAGGCTAAACGATTGACAATGTTATGTGCTGTAGCAAACAATCAGGGACATGGCCTTACCGTGGTTGTCCCCAAATCCCCTACTGCTAGAAATGTTAACAATTCACAAGGTAATGTATAAAGTAAAGTTAATGTATCTTACGATATAAATTTTGGTAATCGAAATAATGTAGTACCAGGCATTAGTTATGCTAATGCATCTAGTGGTAAATCTAGTGGCACTTGAAAATGGCAAATTGTCTGATAAAAATGTTAAAAACTTAACTGATAACAATAATATTAAGAAGAAACCTACAGAAGTAGGCCCAAATGTATTTGCTGATGTGTTAAATTTATTAAGGACGGTTGATATTTTTTAAGGGATTCTCATTTCTACATTTAGAAAGATACCTACGGTAAAATGCCGAGCTTCGAGCTGCGAGCACACTATGACAAATGTTTATTTTGTTTGAAATTTCGAATTCTAATGTTTCTAAATGTGATGTATCCACTGTTCAATTATTATAATGTTAGTGTTGTTTTACAATTGTGTAACATTATACATGGAACGCAACGGTTTGTCTTATAAATTATGAACTGCAGACTTTTTATATGACACAGTCCTGTCTTTATTCCTAAGACCCGACTTGGCCCTCAAACCCATCTATGTTCAATTACGTGTATATCGATCCAATAGAGACATAACTGCTGGCAGAAGGAAGGGTGTACTGCTCACCTTGTTAAATGCTGCGTACTCACTATCAAATAACATTCCCACATCTATCTCATCACAACAAAATACAGGCACCTACTGTTGTATTTATTAATACCACCATCAAACTCCGCCAGCTGTTGAGGCAGATCTCAACACTTACTCCACTTGTCACCTTAATTATAGTGGAGACTGACGCATACCCCACATGACCTGCTATATTCTATTGCAATGTCATATCAACTTGGCCACAGGGATACCATTTCAGATGCAGCTCCAAGTACCCAAACGATATACTAACTGGTCCTCTATATTTAGACTCTTCTTCTCATAAACACCAGTTTTCATTGGATGTTTTTGTGTTGGATAATTAATTCCCGACCACAATCGTCGTTTGATATGACATCATATTATACTACCCGTCAAAAAAGATTTAAACTGACCGGCAAACTTTGCAAAGCTCTAAACATTCATATACAATCCCCACAATACATTCAGGCAATGACATTGATAGTTTAATCGAGGAGTTTACCTGTGCAGTACAAAATACCTACAAAAGTGCTCAGAGAGAAATGAAACAGTCTAAACCTGTCAGATCCAAGGATTTTAGTCAGTTCATCAAAAAATGCAATGCCACCAAGAGACAATTTTAGAGAATCAGATCCAGACGGGACAAAACTATTTTCAATAGGCTGTGTGATGCAGTCAAGTCTCGCACTAATTATTACTCACAACTTCGCTGGGCTAACTACCTTGAGTCCCTCTCCAGAGACGATAACTCCATATGGAAAGCGGTCAAAACATATAAAAAATGCCACAAGAACATTTCCCCCTTTAAAGACCCTCAAAGGATCCATTACACAGATACTAAAAAAGCAGAACTTTTAGCACAGCATCTGGAATCTCAGTTTCGCACTAACAACATTCACAACCCCATTACAGAACAATTAATTACTGACTTTCACAACAACTATATGCCAAGCTTACATACTGACAACACGATCCTAGTCATGCTGTCGGAAGTTTGCTCCTACATTAAAAAGCTGAAGAACAACAACAGCCCTGGTTATGACACCATAAGCAATAGAATGATCAAGAAATTTCCAGTTAAAATCCTACTGTTCTTCATAAAGGTGGTCAACCTTATACTCAGATGACAGCATTTCCTGGAAAGTTGGAAACTGGCTCAAATCACACCAATTCTGAAATCCCAAAAGTCTGCAAGCTCACCAGAGTTATACCGTCCGATAAGTCTGCTATCCTCACTTAGCAAAATTGTGGAGGCTGTACTACTAACCAGGATTAATCAACATCTGGAACAAAATAGCATCATCATTCCTCAACAATTCAGATTCCAAAGCAGACGTTCTATGGTCAATTCTACCGTGTTGTGGAACTTATCAGTGAAGGGCTACAGAAAAAGAAAGTTACAGGAGGACTGTTCTTAGACACAGCAAAAGCCTTCGACCATGTATTGCTGGACGCACTCATCTACAAACTACACAACCTGGGCTTCCCAAGTTATACGACAAACATAGTTAAATCCTACCTAACCGGTAGACTTTGTCGTTCGCGTCTCAAATACACTCTCAACCTGTAGGGCAATCCTTTGTGGTGCCCCCAGGGGAGTCTGCTTGGACCTACCTTATTCAATATCTACGTGAACGACATTCCCACCACACCACAACACTCCAATGTATGCTGATGACACTGAAATCCTCTCACAAAGTGCATTTGTTAGCCCAGCAATACAACAACTATAAGACTACATAAACATACTCGAGACTTGGCTGACAAAATGAAAAATCAAAGTTAATGTGGACGAGACTCAAGCAATTCTGTTTACCAAGAAAATTAAATTCAACGAAAACCAGCAACTCTTTGGAGAAGTCATCCCATGGGCCAAGCAAGTCCTTTATCTTGGGGTGATCCTCAGTATACTCTATCATGGTACCCACACATAACATCTATCCTTAATAAGTTTCGAGTTAGTAAAGTCGCACTTCACCCCTTAATTTCTCGAAACAGTGTACTTTCAATGGACAACAAGTTGCTTATTTATAAAATGGTATTGCGCCCCATACTATGCTATGCCTGCCCAATCTGGGCATAGTCATGCAAATCTTATAGAAAAAAATGCAATGGGCATAAAATTATGTCCTAAGACAGATTACCAATTCATCCTGGTACGTTCGAAATCAAAAGTTACATGAAGAATTGGGTATAGAACAACTTAAGTGTTTTTACTGCCGGCTCGCCTGGATCTTTTATGCCAATCTTGTTAATATCAACACCCCAGTTATAAGGATTTATGATTATGACTTTAATGACCCAAATAATAGTAAATGGCCTATGGCCATACTTATTGTATAACTTATTTAATCTGATATGTAACTCTTAATGTTGTGTTATAGATTTAAGGTTTAATTATTACTAGTGCTCCAAAAAACTCACACTACTTTGCCTATTATTTATACGAATGTGTTTTCTGCTGCACAGGCTATAGCCAGCTTATTCCTCCTTTCTCGGCCTTTCCAGATAGCACTTCAGGTCTTTTGAAACTTGACGCACTCTTTAGTCTTTTTAGAAGCTTATCTTTTAATTTATCTCTTGTCTTATTTCTATTCTTATAATTTAAAAAAATTTAAAAAAAGTTAAAAACATGATTTAATTATATATATTTATATTTATATAAAAAATTCTAAATATATACTAGTTACTTATGACAGTATTCGAAATAACATATCTTTTCTGCAAGGGGTAGGATCCTTGACCCAGACATCCTGGTGCTACACCTTTTCTCAATGCTCATTTCATTTACTCATAAAAAAACTTTATTTAGTAAAGGCTAAAAATTAAAAGCTATGAGATTTGGTGAGTGGGGAGAGTTTGGAATTCAGAGATATAATAATAATAATAATAATAATTTAAAAAAAAAAAAAAAAAAAAAAAAAGAGGTTTGTCTCTGTGTAAAACTAGAAGAGTTCGCAGCTATGCACTATGAAGCAATTTTCAACCGAGAAAAGTAGACGTGTGCATTAGCCTTGGAAAATGCTAGTTCGAGGATAAATTTGTTTCCTCAAAACAGTAGCATTTCCCCCTTCACTTTTTCAGTAAAGTCTCAAGATTCTACAGTAACAAAGCCAGTAATGCAGTTTCTTTAACCAGACTTCTAGTTTTATGACCTAAAATACACAGACACAATTGCTGTTGGCTGAAATATGAACTATCTTTGTCCACAGCCTTATTTATAATTTATTCTTGTAATACTAAAGGTATACAAAGTAAGATAAGGCAACAATGTATTCAGTGTAAACTTGTTTTCAATGTAACACAGCTGTCTTATCATATGAAGTCTCCTAATATAGTTACAGATGATTAATATCTTGTTATAAAGAATACGTTTTCTAAAGAATTTGAATTTGCTTCCTGTTTTGCAGACACACACTGACCAAGATGTTTCTATTGATTAATTCTGCATGAGATTAACTTTTTGGTTAAGGGCCAGAAGACTCAAGATACTTTTGTTTAGTTCAGTCTGTTGTGCATGTTTTGTTTACCGGTCATTTTACTAATGGAGACCATTTTTGGTAGTTCTGATGTTGAACTGGCAGTCAAAATTTCAAATGATCTTTTTTAAAACTTCTTTCACTTTTTTTTTTGTTTCGGCCTGTGAGGAAACAGTTCTTGAAATTCTCTAATTTCCATAAAAATATGAATGTCACTCAAACATATGAATAACATTAAATGGCTTCACATCAACCAATGCAAGACAATGAAAAGACTCAATAGCTATTTTGAAGTTAAAAATAATACACCTCACACACTTCAAATGAAGTTTTTCATGAATATTAATCATATTTCTAGTGCATGCAAAGAAACATGTTATTTTCAAATAATGTAGAGCAAAGAGCTAATAATATAAAGCAATTCCATTAGCTGTGTTTACTTATATTTGTCCAAATACCAGTACTATCTGCCTACTTCTGGCATATGACAGTATGATGGTTAGCAGAACCAACTTCAGTATCACTAAGTATAGACTCCAATCACAGAAAAAGAATGGATATTTATGTCTGTTGACCCTGCTTGTGGTTATGATGCCAATGACTCCTATGATGCACTCGGGGAAAAGCCCTCAAAAATAAGATAGTTAAAGATCAATAGATTTGCTCATTCTCATTGATGCTTAATTAGCAAATGTCCAGGTGTTCTATTAAAAAAAAAAATCAAATGGCAGGAAATCCAGACTTATTATTCAACTACTATACTGCAATGATAATTTATATATATGTATAAAGAAAAAAACACAAGAGAACAACATTACCTGAAAAAGAATGTCTTCATTTTGTTCAACAAGGTGATTCTCATAATGACCAATTAGTTCTACAAACATATGAATGAAGGCTTCTGATATCATTATATCTCGGAGCATTTTTGTTGGATCTGAAAAAATAATATTAACATCTTTTAAACTAGCTTTTAAAATTAGTTCTGTTTCATAAGATTTTATGCACATTATTAACCCTTTTAAACTTTTTTTTTTTTTTGTTTTACAGATGAATAAAGAATTGTCAGAAATCACATGAAATTACAGCTCCTGACTTGCTTTGGTCACTCTCAAGCTAATCTCTGAACTCAAAGCACTACTACTGCAGTCACTTTACTCTAGATACTTTCAAGTTGCACTGCTACTTTACATACAGGCAAGGCATTTATAGCTTTTGACCTATCTTCGAGAACATTCTGGGAAAAAAGGGTAAGAATTCGTTCTAGAATGTTTTGGCTCCGTCTATGGTATATCACCAATTTTGTCGCAAAATGTGCAATTTCTCACCAAATCTGGCATTCCTGCCTTTCCTTGCCACTTTCTGGCAACCTCAAATACGTTTTGCATGAAAGCTATCTTACTGCAGCTGGGCATCTTGCAACAATATATTCTAAAATTCCATACATAAATTTACAGACTGTTTCTCATCTAACTAAGCATGCTGCATGGTATTTTTTTGGCCCAGTTGAAGCTTGTTATCACAGATAATTATTACCTCGGTATGATTACCTTAATACTTGTTTTAGCAGATTACAGTATTCTTCACAAACTACACCGATTGAATTGGAATTGTATTAAGTTGGAGAGATTTGGTGCAATATTTTTGCTCCTTTAAATGACTGTCATCATTTTCAAATACCTGCAATATCATCCTTCAATCAAACACTTACCATTTTTATATGCCATTCCTGTCCATGTGAGCTCTATAATCAAATACTGACAAAACTTGCACATGCTTTATTCTGGGAAACCTACACTATGCATGACTGTTAAGATTTTTAACTAATACAGAATGCATTCATCATTCGTTTGTAACTGTTTTCCAGATAGTGAAAAGGTAGCCAAAAATTTAAAAGTTGTAAATGATGCTTAGGTACTTCAGTTTATATACTTTAAGACTATGTTGTTTATGAAGTTACATTTTCCTTTATGCCTCTGCCATTTTATTTATGTTTATTTCTTATCTAACTTAAACAAATCTTCTGTGATTTGAGCTTGACTGCTATTTTATTATGTTTATTTCCTATACAACTCGAAAAAACTTGTGTGATTTGAGCTTGACTGGCTAGCAAACATTTTAGCAAAAGCAAGAATTATGCAATGTCAAACAATGACTGTAACTGCATTCATAGTCATAAAAAAATCAGCAAAGTATTATTTCTGCATAGTGCTTTACTTTTGTGATCACTTTTATTCTCCTGAAATGAGGTTGTTTATGTGAGTATCGTTTGCTTCATTTTATTGTTGCAAACAGCGTAAATTCCTTTTGCTTTTCTTCCTTTAGTTTTGAACTTTATGTGTGGCAACAAGATAATTGATTGATAGAATTGTGTTTGTGACAGCCATGTAGAATGGCTCGCTTATTTTGTATCAATTATTTCGCATCGCTGACAAGTGTAATTTAATAAAAGTGTAGGAATACAGTCCATTTGTTGATTGATTATTGTTTGTGAAATATTAAGTTTAATAGATATTATTGTTGGTCAAAAGTCTAGCCGGAGAGCTAGTGAAGATAGTGACTGTTCTAAGTGTATTCTAACAACGCAAATATGCATATGGTTTGTGAAAATTATCCACTTTGTGAGGTAAGTGGATTTTGAACAAAAATTCGTTTAATTTGTTGTTAAATTTTAAGAACAATGTTGTAATACAACATAGAATTCGATTTCATTTTAATAATAGTGTTAAGTGATTTAAGAACAATTTCTGTTTTTTTGAATTGATCAATTATGAGTGAACTTATAACTTTTAAAACAAAAGAGCGGTCTTACGCAGGAGTGTTACTAATTATGTAAAGAAAATTGAAACTATTTTAACTGCAGATGAAATTAATTTAATAGAACTAGAGGAATGTGTCGAATTATTGAAACAAAAAGAAACTGAGTTAAGGAAGCTTGATTCTGAAATCGAAAGTTTAATTACAGATACTAAAGAATTAGAAAACGAAATAGATAATGTTCAGGAGTACACAGATAAAATTTATTTGTGGAAATTTAAAGGTGAAAAATATTAAAAAATCAAAATAATAAAAATAATTCTAATAGTGTAATTTCAGAACAGGTTCTTGACAATATTAAATTACCCAAGTTAACATTACCGACTTTTGGTGGTAATATTACAGAATGGATAGCTTTTAAAGATCTTTTCAGTGCTTGTGTAAGAAATAATACAAATTTATCTAATGCTCAAAAATTGCAGTATTTGAAGGCTTCGTTGAAAGGTGAAGCATATCGCATTATTCAAACCATTCAAATTTCGGATTGTAATTTTGAAATAGCATGGAATCTGTTAGACGAAAGATATTCAAATAAGAGAGAACAAATTTTTGCATATATTAAACGTTTTTTAAGTTTACCAACTATTCAAAATGAATCAGCATTTGCTATTTTAAATTTAGTTGACAATATTAATGAAGTAATTCGTTCTTTAGAAGTATTGAATCAAACCATTGATAATTTTGGTGACACTTTAATGACTTATTTAATTTTGCAAAAATTAGACCCTTCTACAAAATTATGGTGGGAACGTCAGTTAAAATCTAATGAAATTCCAAAACTTACGACTTTAATTGAATTCCTAAAAAACTATGCAAGAACACTTCAAAATAGCAAATCAACAAGTAATAAGGTACCTAAATCTGTGTTTCAAAATAAGAATAATGTTCTGGTTGCTACTTTGGGTTGTGGTTATTGTAAAGAAGATCATAGTTTAGCCAAATGTTCGAAATTTCTAAATTTATCGGTTCAGCAAAGGATAGAATTTTGTAAAATCTAATCGTTACTGTTTTAATTGTTTATCTAATATGCACTTGCTCAAAAAATGCAAGAGTTTAAATACATGTCAACATTGCTTTAAGAAGCATCACAGTATTTTGCACATTGTAAATAATTCAAAGAATAAAACTCAGTTAAACAGTATATCTCCGCCTACGCAATCTATCATTAAAAGAGATGAATTAACGAGTCCTAAGGACGTTTCAGCCACAGTTTGTGCCTCTCATTATGATTCGAATGCAAAAGGTAATCAAACCAGTCACATTTTATTGTGTACTGCTTTAATAAAAGTTCAAAATTCTAAGCAACAATTTGTGAAGTGTAGATGTTTATGTGACACTGGATCTCAGAGATCATTTATTTCAAGGGATTGTGTGAAGAAATTAGGATTACGAGTGAAAGATAATTCCATTTCTGTATCATGTCTTAGGAGAATTTAATACTATAAGTAATGGGGGAAGTCGATTTAGTATTCACTTCTCATTTTAAAAGTGATATTCGTGTATCAACATCAGCGTTTGTACTGGACAAGGTGACAGATAACATTCCCTATGTATCTTTGCCATCAATCATCTTCGATAACTTCAGTGATTTACAATTAGCTGATCCATTATTTTACAAGTCACAACCAGTTGACATTTTATTTGGAGTAAATGTATTTCTGCATTTAATGACGGGAGAAATTGTCAAACGTGGTCCTGATCTACCATTTGCTCTAAATTCGAGGTTGGGATGGATAATTTCGGGTACTACAAATTTTGAATCTACAAATTTTGAGCCAGTATATGTAAATCATTTGAATACAAACACAGATGAGTTAGTAAATTCTTTCTGGGAGTTAGAAAAGTTTCCAAATGTACAACCTTTAACAAATGAAGAAAAACTTTGTGAAGAACATTTTAAAAACTAACTCGCATTTTAGAGACACATCAGGTCGTTATTCAGTTGCATTACCATTCAAACATAATAGAGATATTCTAGGTGACTCCCGTGAAATGGCGTACAGAAGATTTCAATACTTGGAGAAGAGGCTGTTATCTATGAAAGAAATTTACAACCAGTATATTCAGTTTATGAAAGAGTACTTTTCACTAGAACACGTAGAATTAGTGCCAGACACAGATTATGAATTAGAGAATAAACACTATTATATCCCACATCACTTCGTGTTGAAGGACTCTAGCTTAACAACAAAATTGAGAGTTGTTTTCGATGCGAGCGCTAAAACAACCACAGGTGTTTCTTTAAATGATACACTAATGATAGGCCCAAAAATACAAGATGACTTAATTTGTATTTTACTAAGATTTAGACTTCATAACATTGCAATAACCGCTGATATTAAAATGATGTACAGACAGATAAAGGTTCATGAAAAAGATAGAGATTTTCAGAGAATATTATGGAGAGATAGCACGTATAAGCAAATACAAGTTTGTCGTTTGAAAACAGTTACATATGGAACTGCAGCTGCTCCATATCTTGCAACCAAAGTTTTGAGTCAGTTAGCGATTGATGAAGGATTGAACTTTCCAAAGGCTAACTGGTGTAAAAGATAGTTCGGAAGGTATTGCATTGATAGACGAATTGCAACATCTGCTAAAAAGTGGTGGCTTTGAGCTTCACAAATGGTCGACAAGTGAACCGTCATTGTTAAAAACCTCTGGCTTAACAAACACAGACAGTGACAATATTCATCGTGTAATAGAAGACAAACCATTGAAAGTTCTGGGATTGGAATGGCATCCGGACAATGATGAATTCAAATGTAATGTCGGTGTAATAGAGTATCAAAGTGTTCCGACTAAAAGAATTATTTTGTCATTCGTAGCAAAACTATTCGATCCATTGGGGTGGATAGCTCCGTTTGTAATTCTCGCTAAAATGATCCTTCAGCAATTGTGGAAATTACAGTTATCATGGGATGATCCTGTAACAGAAGAGATTGATCGAAATTGGAGAAATCTATGTAGAGAAGTTAAACTTTTGAATTCTATAAATATACCTAGGAAAATTCTGCTACCTGATTATTTTCGATGTGAACTTCACGGATTTTGTGATGCGTCTGAAAGAGGTTATGCAGCAGTTATTTATATCAAAACTTGCAATAACTCTGACATTAA